GGCCGAATATTTACTAAGATTTAGCGACAATTATTAATTTTCTGGTTGTTCTATCTCTTAATTAAGCAGAAGTGGAGCATTATATTATATTAAAAATATCTTGCTTCAAATTTTAAATTTAATAAGCTTACTGTTTACCTTCGTGTTCGCGATAAAATATGTGCATATTTGGTTACCGTCTCAAGACGTCGATGCGGTAAAACAAACTGCGTTAAGAACCTCTTTTACTGCGTCTTCAGACAAAAACGGCAGACAATTGCAAAAAATAATTTTACAAGGGAAATTGTTCCTTGTTTCTGAAGAACACTGCGATTTCTTAAAGTTGGCTTAACTTGATTTTTATCAACTTAAGCCCAGATGTTCCGGTTTTGGAAGAGATATATTTTAAAATGTTCTTGCTTACCATAGATCTGGTTCCATCATACTAACTTGCATAGGAATTTTTTTCGATATTAGGTAACTTCAGATTTCTTAAAAATTCCGCCTATTACCCTTGAATAAACTGAACTGAACGGGCACTCTTCCTTACTTAAAGGCTTTCTCAGGACAAAATCCACTCATTAGATCAACATAATGTGATCAACTGTGTGCTAAACTACAAAGTCCAATTTAGACCATGACTTTGCATGAATTACCGCACCTACTCTATGAACAACTTAACGCTAAACAAACGCGGAGGACGACGTTCCCTTTCAGGTCGGGAGCTCGATCCTTATTACTTGCGGTTAGGATTGTCTGCGTTTGTTTGTTTTGGACTGCTGGAGCAGTCCATATGTACAGGCGCTCAGCGTCGTCGAGCAAGTAATTAGAGTGTTGGTCCTATCAGCACCATAAATCAAAAGCTTAAAATATGCCTACTTTTTAGCCGCATAATGTCATTACAGTAGACATTTTCGCGAGTTATATTGTTCTTCTCCGGTATCTTAACAACATCTACCTGATTTATTCAAAATGAATCCGTTTAGCTAGGGTAGAAAATAGCATATTAGGTTGGGCATTCAGTTGCGCTTTCTGATACTGATCCATTTTCTTCATTTATGCATTTTTTCTCCCATAATGCTCCAGTTTGCTGAAAAAAGTAATACCAACTCTTCCCTCTCTCCTCCGCACACTGGCGTGGCGTGAAATATTCCGTCTACGTGGACCACACGCACGCCACAGTCCTCAAGATTCGCGCACGCTTACCACCACTTGGCGAACACGGGGCAGTGTTAGCCTAATTTGACATTATGGTCAGCTCAACTGCCTGGTTTCTGTCAAGATTGAAGCACACGTTTAAATTTCGTCGTGCAATCAACCCATATAGTTAGTTCCTTCTCCATGTCACACCGTTAGAGTGCAAGTAAGTAGTCTGACACATAAATGTGTACATTCAATGATCCATCTGTCCCAGCTCCCACCCTCTTGCTAACCGATTACGCGCAAGTGACCCTCCCTGTGCCAGCCTTGCTGTGCGTGGGTCACACGGTGGACTTCGTCAGTAACAACCGTTGAATTGTAACGCATTAACTCTTCGCTATCACAACTCAGTAAATCACATCTTGGCCTCTTAGCGTACCCAACTTCAATTTACGCCATTTTATGTGCACTCGTTGATGTGTGTTTTTAGTTAAACTACCACGACAGGATTTTAGACCCCACTCTCACGCCGCACTGAATAATTCCTATGAAGTCCGACAGAGCGCTAGTCCGTAGTCTGACTCATAAGGATTTACAGCCAGTGACCAAGCCAATCCAGCTTCGACTGTCAACTTTCTGCTCACTGATGCCGTCTACTAAGTGGCAGTGCTGTTCTCCTTGGCGGGAAGCTTTTGCGACTTATCCATTACAGTGATTATCATCTGTCGTGACGCAACAAATTCTATCTGTAACCTAAAATTGTCTCTTGGCCTCTTTTGCACATCCGACCTCCACTTACGCAATCTAGTGTACACTCCTAATTACCATTACATCGTTGGAACGTTTAGCTAAACCATCACTGTAAGGCTTTCGGCAAGTCAAATTACACCCTGCTGTTCGCTGCGAAAGTGTTCACGCGACAGACGTTAACAAAGGATTGCGTCAGTCTCGTAATGCGGCGTTGCTGACTGGACAAGGCAGCTTCGGTCTGTGTTAACACACAGGTTCAG